GACCCACCCAGGATTCTGATCACTTGTTGAACATTGTGCCTGTGCCTTGCTTGCCTGCCTTGGATGCCAACACCAACAACCTACCTGATGAGCTGACTGAGGCTTCCTCTATGGTTCTGGGACCTGGTGGTCTCTAGACACCTAGAAATAGGTGTGCTGGCTAACTATGACGAGAGCAGCTCTGACTATGAGGGCAGCCTGCCTTTGGCCTGGCCACATAGGAGGTGATAGGGCCTGGGAGAGAGAAGCTGCGGCAGGCAGGTGCACGGAATGGCTTACCTTGGGGGGTAGGCCCCCTTCATAGGCTGGCCAGCTGCAAGAAAAGGCGATGGGGCGTCCTGTGGCATTCAGGGCAGCAGACATCTTGGGGTACCCTGCAGAAACCCCGATTTGGTGACTGAGCAGGCATAGGGGACAGTCTAGGAAGTGCCTCCTTGTACTTAAAGATTTACTTCCTGGGTGCCAAGCCTTAGGATGAAGCTATGTAGCTACAGTGCCATTGCATCTTTAGAGGGTCAGGGAGCGGCAAGCAGGGGTAAGGAATTTGGGAAAACTGCTGCCGCCGGGTACAAGCAGACTGAGACCCACAGCTGCTGCCCTCTCTCCAGATGATGGTCGAGCCAGGCATGAACTCACCCTGTGCACGCTCTTTGGCAGTAGAGAAGCAGCCATCCAGCTTCAGCATGTCAATCTTCCATTCAGCGAAGGTTTCGGCATCCAGCTCCACTTTGTCCAGAGTGGTACCAGGGTAACCCATGCAGGTCATTTTGCCCATGTCCTCATAGATGCCTAGCTTCAGACCCAGGGAATGGGCCTGCGGGGTAGAAGAGACAATGGTAGATCAAGTGAGACCCTCTTCATAGTCATATCTTGACAGAGGTCATTAGAACCTTCAACAGCCCCTCAGATACCAAATGGCCCCTGATCTTGGGTATCTGCACGGTCTTCGATAGTAACAGGAGCCCTGGATATCAGCACAGATCCTGGCTGCAGTGGGGCCACCGACCTAGACATAGCCTTCATGCAGCTTTGGCCTGGACATCATCATGGCATTGAGATGATGGTGTACCAGAAACCAGAGGCCTTGAACCAGACCAGTTATTCACTGCAATGAACATTTGCTAGTGAAGCCTATAGACAAAAGGACATACTATATGACACAGCCAGGCCTCCAATGCCACCAGGACGGATGAAGAGGTGTTGGAGAAGCAGGAAAGGAGAAGCAAAGAGGTTTTTGGTGTTGTTGGCTTCTGTTTTGTTTTACTTGGTTTATTTTGTTCTTATTTTTTGTTTGCTTGCTTACTGTATTGTTTTCTTTGGTAAGGGAGTACTTCAGGGGTGAAGGGAGGATATATGGGACCGGGAGGTGAGCAGAATTGGGGTGCATGATGTAAAACTCTCAAACAACCAATAAATAAGTTAAATTAAAAAACAAAACCAATCAACTAACCAACCAACCAAACAAAACCCCCCAATGGCTCCCAGGGCTGGGGACGTAGCTGCTCGGCTGGCAGAGAGCTTGCCTATCGGGTTCTAGTCCCAAGCACTGCATATAAACCGTGCATAGTGGCAAGCACCTAAAATCCCAGAGCATCAAACATTTTGTTTGTTTGAGACAGGGCCCCTCTACATAGCTCTGACTGTCCTGGAACTCTCTGCAGAGACCAGGCTGACCTTGAACTCATAGATCTGTCTGCTTCTAGAGCACAGGATTAGAGACGTGTACCACCACACCCAGCTGGCACCAGAAGTTTAAGGTTATCCTCAGCTACAGTGTTGGAGGTCATCCTGGGCTATGCGAGTCCCCCTCTCAACGAAATAAAGTGAGAATCCTCAGTGGCTCCTGCTGACCGAAAGACAAGTCCCAGCTGGCTGGCTTCTGCCAGCCAGTTTAGGCCATTTTCCTCCAGCTATCTCTTGCCTTGAGGCCTTTCACTGCCTCAGATGCCTCACCTCTGGGATCAATTCAACCCATGCCTCCTCCAGGGATCTTTTTGCTAAGGTCCCTTTCGGGCTCTGACTGCATTAGGTCAGAAGTAGGTGTTCATTTTTCAGCTTCCACCGGTATACTGAGTTGTCAACAGAGAGTTGCTAATGAGTCCCAGGCACAAGGGAGGAAGAGAGGTGTGGCCTTCATACTAAGGGGCAGGGCTGGACTGGGACTTACATAGTCAGCCAGGAAGGCAATCCCGTGAGGGAAGCGCTTGGGATCAGGCAGCAGGCGGCCTTTGGCATCGCGCCCGCCAATCCAGCAGTCGTCGATGTTGAGGTATACATAACCAAGGTCCCGCCATCCATCCTGGGCCAGCCGGTCAGCCATCTCCATGAAGAGCCGTTCACTAGCAAGGGATAGGAGAATGGTGTTGCTCTGTAGTTCAGGCTGTCCTGCAGTCCTGCTCTTTCTTCTGCTCTGAGTGTGAATTCTGGCTATAAAAAAATCATACCTCTAGCCTTTAATCCCAGCACTCGAGAGGCAGAGGC